TATTATTATTATTATTATTATTTCATTTCAAAATCTAACTGTGTGTCATTTTTTGAAAACTGCTATTAGCTTTGTGATTTTTCTCAGCAGCTTTAGAGCTTAATGTGTTGAACTTGGACATGAACAATAGATTGATGTATAGACACATACCCAATACTTGTACTGATTGAAGCCAGTTCTGATCATGTGATAAATTTCTTTGCGTGTTTACTCTGTTTAGTACGGTTTAAACAAAGTCTGTTTTTCAGTCTTGAGATCAGATTTTACATTGAAATCTGATCCTGCCGCAGTTCTTAGTGAAATACGATGTTTTCGTTTAGATCAGTCGTAAGTATTTTACGGGACAGCGCCAAGATCAAATTTTAACTGCGCTCCGGGTATTACGGTAATGTGGTAATAATAAGACTGATGCATTTCCGCTCTGACGTCAGAAGGCCCGCTGAAATTCAAAGTTGGAGGAGGTGATTGATAAACTGGGACAACAAGAAGTTTCTTCTGTTTCTTTTAATTGTCTTCGTTAGCAATTGATCTGTTTTATAACTGTAGTTTACTACAGAAAACCTTTCAGGTAAGCGAGTAGTATTTATTTAGATGACATGTCGTCGACAAATTCAAGCTAACAGGCGCTGCTGCAGCTCGCTCGTGATGCTAACGTTAAGGACTAGATAAACTATACAGTAAGCTCCAAGAAGTTAGTAATACTTGAAAAGTTTGACGTAAAAATATAAAAATGTGCCATTATAGTCTGGCAAATGAGTAGTGTTTCCTATATATAAAAGAGGAAGGAAATTTCATAAACTTGTTTGTTAGCTGTCTTATCCAGATAGCGTTGTTTACTTACCTGAATGACAGTTAGCTTAGCATAACTTGCTACCTGTTTGAAATCTCCAAAACTGGGCGTTGTCACGTCTGTTTTGCTAAACTTACCTGTCCTGGCGCATACTAGAAACATCATGCTTTTTTCTATAAAGAAGTATTTATAATTTCAGTGCCCTAAAATTATTTTAGAATTTATAAATTTGTTTTTGAGCAATAGTTCTTAATTAAACTGAAGTAACTACCAACCTTTCGGTTTGTGTCTCTTTAGAAAATTTTGACTTTTTCTATCAGTACTGGTACTAGCTGGTCTTAAAATTTGGGTTTCTACATATACAATATTGTAGGATCCCAGTGTCAAACAAAATGTTTTTGTCTTTCGTTTTATTTTAGGCTATGTAAATACTGTTATAAACCCATTACATATTTAATATTTTGTCTAAAACGAAGTTTAAAAGTGTCATCCATTCACTGTAACTTGACACAAGAACACAAACAAAATCGAATAGATTTACAAGTTCACAGTGAGGAGTCCACTGAGTGGGTTCAAGCATCTGATTTTGATGCCTCGCTTTAGAGGATTTCCTGACATGGTCCACTGACAGAATACCTGTGGAAAACCCACAAGTATTAGATCAATGTAAGTGGCAAAATACGTGAAGAGTTCCATTTGATTGGTCAAATACTTCAAGCTTCCATGTGATTTACAAAACACATGCAATACAAATGTGAGCCAACAATTTACTGCAGTTTATGCAGTTTTTGGCAATATGCCTTTTGCAATGACAATAAATTTGTTATATTGTGCAGCCCTAATAAGTAGGAGGATGGATTTGTCCATTAAGGTTTTTTTTAATAAAATGTGCATCATTGCAATATATAAAATCTACAATAAAAAACTCAATCAACAAGATGAAAAAACAAGTCAAAATGTGACAACTCTGTCAGTTTTGCTTGCTGTTTATAAACCTGTGAATAAAGTAAGTCACCTATTAATAAGACTTTTATTTCTCTGACAGTTATTTTTGGTGTCATCCGAAGTTAACTTTGATTTGCATCTTTGCAGTTCAGTATGGATGCTGGGGAAGAAACTGGTGGCAGTACCAACTTAAAGAGGCAGAGAGAACCTCTGTCAGATTCAGAAGACAACATTGTCTCAGCACCAGGTTTGTGTCCGTACTTACAAGAATCTAAAGAATTGGATCTTTATAATCAAGGTTGCACATAAGCGGTGCGCATACGCGACCAAAAAAGGAAAAAGCACCCCAGATGGAGCGTCATAAAGCTCACTTGCGTACCTAAGATTGCACCTGAGATTGTCTGTCAAAACAATAGCTAGCAGGGCTCTAGAATGCGACCAGTTTGGTTGCAAATGTGACCTGATTTCTTAAAAAAAWTTTAAAAAAATCCAGCCGCACTGGTGTGACTGGATCGTTGTTCGGTGCTCACCAAGCCTAAGGGCAGCGAGACCCTGACAAGGATTAAACAGACACTGCTTTCAACAAATCAGATGAAGTCCAGAGCCATTTTATCCAATCAGAGCAGACCAGTGCGGGACTTTCATTGAGAGCTTTTTTCAGCAGAAGTGTAGGTTGAAGCAGCGGCTTCTGCGGTCAGTCCTGACATTTACTCCTCCGCTTTGCTCCTGAGCTACTTGGACTTTGGTCTGTAAAACCTAATTTTATATTGTATGTATGTTCAGAGTAGGGTTGGGCAATATTGGCAAAAAATTAATCACGATTAATTGTGGTATTTAGCCGATAAAGAATATGACTAATTTGACGATTAATCCCCTGGAGTCCCTGGACACCCTTATGTCCTAGTCACATGACCAATTTAGCGGGAAAGATTTGCTCCAAAAAAATATGTTCCAAATTGTGTCAAAATTACAGACTTGTTTGTTGATAGATAAATAAATTACAGAACTTTTTTTTAATGTTCGTCATATTTGAAGTGGAGAGGAGCACCGAACGGTCAGTCTGTCTGGTGRTATTAATTGTATTGATTGTCAAGTGCCAAAAAATTATCGATTAATGTTTTTCTGACGATTAATTACACACGATACGATTATGCCCAACCCTAGTTCAGAGCGTTGTTATTGGACAGATCTGTCCAACTTTGTGAGTGACTAAACTCTCTCCTCTTCTGTGACGGGAGTGCGTGAAGGATGAGTCTTTCTGTGATTCACTGTTTGAGTTCTTCTAATTAAACCACGTTAACTCTAACAGAACATTTGTTTACCCCATATTAAAGCAAAGATGATTCTCTGTTTAACAACACCCCTGTCAAAAAATTGTATATATTTAAAAATATATATAAAAGCAA